TAACAGATGGGAGGATATTTCTGACTGCATCTGGAGAGGACATGGTGTCCATCCACACCAAAGACACCACAGGAATCAGGAAGCTGCAGAAAGACGATGTAGAGGTGGGATCGTCCAGCTGTGTGAACATCCTTGATGACCTTTGTGCAAGCCTCCTTGTTACCCTCTGACTCCTTCCTTTAGGTGCTGCTGCTGACCTCTAGTGAGGACCCTGTGGCCCAGTTGTTAGCAGATAAGCTGAAGAAGCTAACGGGGTGTGAGGTCATGCCGGTGGGAGAGGACCCACTAAGTGATGTGTTGCCAGTCGTGAAGGAGAGGAATCTGGACTGGAAAGATGTAGCTTACATGGGTAAAGCTGCTGTTCCTTATTTATGTACCTGTGGAGGTTTTAGCATCATTGATCTCAACATTCAGTTGTGTCACAGCTCTGACCAACCAGGAACTCGTCAGCTGCTGAAATCCGTTTCATAGTGAAGGTATAAAAGCATCATAGTGATGATAATACATGCAGCCAGTCCCTGTAGTAAAAGCAAACATTAACCTGTATGTACCATGGGCGTGTCGGCTTACTGGAACAGTGCAGCCATTGCTATGAAACACTGGAACCATGTTTATGCCCGTGTCTCCTCCCAGGTAACGACACAGCTGACAGCAGCTGTCTGAATCTGGCGGGTTTGAGTGCAGCTCCTGCAGACGCTCCATCAGACGCCGCCAACGCTGCCAAGTACACCTGCCGCCTCCTTGGGGGTGCGGGAGCCGTGAGGGAGTTTGCAGAACACGTTCTCCTGCAGAAGGAGAAGGCAAAGTCCCAGATGAAGCAAGACCGAATCGACCGCACCAACTTCTGATGTAGAACAGTCCAGATTTAGAAGGAGCTGCAGTGGAGTTTGTTCACATAAAGAAGTCAGATCATTCACACTCTTCAGGGTAACGTGACACGTTTCAGCCTCCTGTGGTTAATAATCAGCTGCCGAGACTAAAGACATAAACGAAAAGCGCTGAAATGATCAGGATAGATGTCAGTTTCATTTTTATTATCCAGCTATAGTTTTATTACTGCTTTGTTTGTTTTAGCAGTCAGAGCTGTTGGCAGCTTCTTTGTGGGGTATTTATAACACTTTAAGATTCACATCACCAGATCCTTGTGAACAAACAGCAGCCTTGAGGTTTTCTTTGATGTTTGAGATAAAAGTTAACCTGAGAGCTCAAATCACCGGGTTCACAATCACCTCTGAATCCTGATGTTGGTGCTTTGGCCTCTGGACTAAGTCACCAGATGAGAAGCAGCTTTTAAAGGTGCAGAGCAGGTTTCTCTGGAATGTTTTTGCCACTTTGCTTGAAATGCTCTTCACATACTGATGGCTACAAGTGAATTAAATGTTTTGTAAAAATTAATAAAAATAATGAGTTTAATCACCTCTGTAACGTATCACGGAGGAACCTCGTCCAATCATAGTGAATGTCCCATTATTAATTACTGGATCATGAGCCATCCATCAAGCTGTCCTCCCTGACCACCCCTCATGCTCTTCACTTACCCCTCCATGTGTGCAAATTCAATTCAGTTCAATTCAATTCAAAACTACTTTATTAATCCCAGAGGGAAATTGTGTGTTCTTGACTTGGAGCAGCTGGGCTAGGTAGTGGAGCGGATGCAATGTTCTGTTCAGTTAGCATATTTCTTTAAGGAGTATTATTTTACATGTTCTGTTTAGAGTCTTTTCTTAATGGGAAATGTTTAGGTGACGGACATGTTGCCTGTCAACACACCCGGTCCCAGGTTGGCTGCCAGAGCTGTCTGTCAGTTTGTTGCCTTGGCAACTCACGTGTGGGTTAAGGGTAGGTTCTAGAAGTTTTAATCGATTGCTCGTGGGTTTTTCTTAGATTGCCGTTTGTGCGGTGCAGATGAAGTTAAGAACAACGGATCGAAACTCGTGAACTGAACCCTCAGGAACAAACACGCGTTCTTCTGTTCTGGGGGCGTGGCTTAGGTGGGGGACGCCTGAGGAAGGGGGAGTTGGATTTTCAAAAAGTACCTTGCTTGATCAGCAAGCAAAAAAAAAACATCTACTGCTCCTTTAAAGTAATAATGATACCAGATTATTTTATAACTACATTGTTGACCTTTGACCTCATCTGTGCTGTTTAATATCTAGCTCGTAACTTTAAGGTTGTTTTCTGCTTCTAACTGTGGGTCACAAGGTGAAATTCTGCTTAAGACACCCATGTGACGGTTGCTGGGCCGGCACTAGTCAAATACACGTTTATGATAAAAAAACATGGTAGCTAGAAAGAATGAGCAGATTTGCCTGTTTACAGCAGGGACAATCCTGCTGATAACATGTCAACATCCTTTTGTTGTCTTGTTTGTGTTTGTTTTCAACCCTTTTATTTGTTCTCTGAGATGTTTTACCGGTGGCTGCTAATGTGAAGGTTCTGTTGTTAAAATCATTGATGGCAATAACTGTATGTTAAGAAATTAATCTAAATGTTGTTTTACATTTATTTACTTTCCCAAAGGTGGTTTTTGCTTGGAAGTGACTTACTTTATAATTAAATGAAGGTATTTATGTAATAATTGTGATTTTCATGAGTTTAAGCTAACAACATCAAAGCTAGAATGAGTGAATCAAATGAGAATTAAAAATCTAAAACTGAAAAAGTGACTGAATATTATTATTATTATTGTTGTTGTTGTTGTTATTTTTTGAATCTGATACCTAAATCGTTACAAGCAAGCAGTATTTTTGGGACCTTACCAACGGATGCCCATTAGGGTCAAAAAGCCCTGGGGAGAGCAAACTTCAGCAAAATAACAAGCGCATCATCAATGGCAACAAGTGGAGGTAAATGTGTAAAACAACAGCGTTTAAACATGGCTAAAGTTTTGTAACCATTACAAATAAATGAATGCATTTTTATACATTTTTACATGAAACAGTTCTCATCAGATTAGGAGGAAACCCAATCCGGTTCAGACTGGATTGAATGTGGACGGAAGAGAAGAAAGAAAAGTAAAGCGTGTGAATCAGGTGAGTTAGAAGTGAACATTGTTCTTGTTCTCCTGTCAGTCTCTGAGAGCTTCTCTCTCTGTGGATTGTTGCTTTGATTCACCTTCAGAACAAACTGCTGCATCACGTCTCACTTCCTGTTTGTCTCTAGAAAACTCTTGACTTGGTAACCTGTCTGAGTGAAACTCTCCATCTGACTCTTTAGTCCTGATTCTTTACTGGTGAATCCCAGTCAGTCTAACTGGTTCCTCTCAGACTGACTGAAGAGGAAGATGGACGTTTCTGTGGAGGAAGAGGAGAACAGAGCAGAACCTCCAGGACCCAGCTGTCCACCTATGAAGAGCAGCTCCTCCCCGTCCAGACCTCCAGACCTCAGTGGACCTGGACCTTCAGAAACAAAGTAAGAAAAGTGTTTCTAACTGATCCATTTGACTCCTCAGACAGAAAAACAGGATTTCTGGTGAATTCTGGTAGAACTGATGAATTAGTGGAGTTCTAAAGTGTTAAAAACAAAGTTGAGCAGGTGGAATTGCAGCTCTTATCAGAGCATCAGAAACAGTCTTTACTCTGATTTCTTGTCAGTTGGTTCAGTTTCTATCTGGTTACAAAGACTCTTGATGCTGATGGACGATTCCTCTCTGTGTCCTTCAACCAGATGAACACGACCACATGACTGATGAAGGAATTCTTCCAGATGACCGAGCAGCTTCGTCTCCATGGAGACAGCTCTGTGGCTGCTTCCCTTTCTAACTGACTGATGAACTCTCTCAGCTCAGATGTTTCAGACTTTGCAGCAACTGTCCCAAAATGATGAATCCTGCTCTCTGCATGGGTAACCCAGGTGGACATTTCTTTATGTGTTGTCCTCTGAGCAGAGCCTCATGTCTGCATCAGCTACCAGGCTGTTTCTGAAGCTGAAGTTCTCGTGTAGTACTGCTCTCCACAGGCTGCTCATCCACTCTCTGAACTCCAAGATGTTATTAGAAGTTGACCCACATGTTCCCAGCTGCTGGATGATGTTCTTCTGGAGCTCCTAGACAGACTCACTGGATCCTGCATTGACTGTTTGCTCAGACTAGTTGTTGTTCACTGGTTACTTGGAACAATTAGTCTGGATGTTGGAGCATTTGAACACTTTTAGTGTTGCTGCTTTCAGATAAATCTTTGACCTTTCTGTGGTGGGTTGTTCATTGATGTGTGATTCTCTTTAAAGTGAGACTTCATGTTACTAAGTGCATCAGATGAGATGTTAGTGAGAGTGCAGACGTAATAAAGAGGGAGCAAAGTGTCAAAGCTAAACTCTTAAATGCTACAATTCACTTTATTCTGGCCATGAATAAACTCCCTTTGCAGGGCTTCACTGGAGTTCATCAGGTCCAGATTAGACGCTGTCAGAGTTTATTTCCATTGCTAAAACCTCAAGAGGAGAAATGAACTCTTTAGCTGATATCATCTGACTTTGCACGGAGTTCATTTCTGTTCTCAAAGTGTTTAAAAGGACAAACAGTAGGAGACAGAAGTGAGGAGGGAAGAGATGAAAATTTTTATTTCTTCCTTCTGCCCCTTTTCATTCAAATTGTTTGGTGTTTATGTTTATGTATGTTGTTTTTCTCGTTGTTTATATGCGTAACATGCTCAATAAAATAATCAGGATAAGCAGTAAAATCATCGGTCAGGAGCAGCAGTCACTTACCAGCACACACAACACTTCAGTTCTCAGAAAAGGCACACAGATCTCCACAGACCCGTCACATGCTCTCCACTCCCATTACACCCAGTTACCATCAGGACGGCGGTTCAGGGCCCTCCCAGTGAAGACATGAAGGGCCTCCTCCAGCGTCCTTCCCTCTTTAATCCGCCTGTTAAATAGCATGCCCCAGCAAAAATGACTGTGACCAACACTACGGTACATCTAGATTGAACTAGTAATCTTTTAATATCGTGTTCCTTTTTAAATTCCTTTAAGCGTGTGTAGATGTGAGTAGTATTTTAAATTGTGTGTATGTGTGTGTGTGTTTTGATGCTGTTTTTATGTGTTGTGCTGACGCTCTGATTGCAAATGAAGTTCCTAACGGATAAATAAAGTATATATATATTCTTTTTTAACACTTTGAACAAAACTAATAAAGAGGAAATAGAGGAAAAAGTCTGGAAAGTTTATTTACATAGCACTTATCACAGAAAGAAACGTCACAGAGATCAACTAAACAAATCATAAAATAATCACAAACAAAACAATGAAATATAAAATAAATGGAAAAATAATATAAAAAAGACAGAATGGCTCCAAGCCTCCTAACACAATAAAAGCCTTTAATAAATTATCATAATTTAATAAAACAAACTTAATATATGAGAAGTTTGTTGATTTAATTTACCTTTAATGATTCAATATATTTACCTACAACTGTACCATGTTCAGCGCCTTGGGCTTCCTGACAGGGTTGCGGAAGGCGCTTTATAAATAAAGCTTTGATCGATTGAAAAATGAACCCAAACTAACTTATCTTTGAGTTTTATGGATCTGTGTCTCCCTCTTGTGGACATTCAGTGAAACTACATGTTTGCCCCTTGATTAGGGTTCTAAAAACCACAGAATAAACTTTGTTTATGAACACTTTAAAACTTTTAGGATTTTGGATTATTTACAAAATATAAATACAGAGCTTTGTAAAAATGTAAGAATCTTAGTAATTAGGTAAAATGTATTTATTTATTTAGAACCTTTAGTGATAAAAACAACAAAGTATTTAATAAATTCTGTGGCAATTTAAACATGACTGTAAATAATTAATATATTTAAAACAAATAAAGCTCATTTGTAAGCTGGATAAACAGATCAGAGCAGAGTGATAAAAGCACCTTGTTCCATCTTAGACTTCTGACCAGAGTGAAGCCACATCTCCCTGTAAAAGATCAGGAGAAAGTCTTTAACCCATTCATCACAACTCATCTGGACATTCATGTCATGCTGAACCAATCTTATTAACATCTACACACCAGGGAGAGCACTCAGCTCTACCAGCCTGGTTCTCCTGGATGTCCCAAGATCAGATTGAAGAACAACTTGTTCTTTATTCTTGTTTTATCATCCAGGAAGTTTCATTTGTTCTTTGTTACCTCGTTTAACTACGAAGCATTTTGGTCCCCCTCAGCTGTTTTCATTGTGCTGTAAAATAAAGTGACACTGAGTAGAGAACAAAGGATCCAACTTGCCATGAAAACATTTCTGTTGATTTTCTAAATGAGGATCAGAAATGTTCCATGAGAGCGAATCCTGGCTGATCACTGACTAGTGTGATGTCCTGTCACTGACTGGCGTAGCTCTGGGAGAGCTGTCACACGTTGGACTGGACACCAGTAAAATAGTGAGTCACTGATGGTGCCGGTGTGACGTCTGGGAAGGACATTAGAACGTAGAAACGGATTCAGAAGAGCTCAGAATAGGAAATCCTGTACAGCTACATTTGGATCATCAGCTTCAGCTGCTTGGTGTTTGAGCCATTCCATCTGACAGCTCAGCAGAATTATTACAAGTCTGACATCTGTTGAATAAAGTCCTAAAAAAGTTGGCAGCAGCTGTGCAACATCAGGTAGAAAACAATACATTTTTATCATTAAATGTTTTAATTCCACATGAAGCCTCTGAAAGTGAAGAAGTTACCTGAATACCAGCTGGTAACAGGTGGAATGTGCAACCCAACATCTCCTGGGTCAGAAGGATGGGCTGACATCCAGAAACAGGCTTTAAAGACGTTCATTCCTATTCACCGAAGAGGTTATTATTATGGTTTCCATGGAAACAAGAAAAAACATAAACAGGGTAGTAAATCAAAATAAACAGCTGCCAGTGGCTCCATCTATTAATGCGGCTCCTTACAGATGTTTGCTACGTAACATTGTACCTGTGCACAACAAGGAATGTCCTAAACACAATAAATAAGTGAAAGAGCTGCGACACGTTCTGACCAGGGCCTTCTGGGAAACTGAGTCCAGTGAGCTAACAGGGACTTTTGAACATTTGCTGTATTTAGTCAAGTTTTATAAACCATGTGCTGCTTGTTAGTAAAAGTCAGCGAGGGTTTGTGGTTTTATTCATCAGGATATTAAATGAAAACAACCTGGTTAATAACAGACTAATTGTTTGTGTTGGACTTTTTCTAATTTAAAAGATAATTTTGCTCAGTGTCTCTCTGTACTCAGAAAATAGATTTCATCATCAGACCTTGAGATTATGTACAGGGCCCTTAGAACAACTCAGGATGAGACAGTGTCATGTTTTACCCAGGAATGTTGTTATTATTAGTCTATTAATATTATTATTAATAATATTATGATGATGATTAGTTTGTTAAAGCTTTTCAGTGACTTACTCCCCTCTAGTCCAGTAGGTGGCGGTAGTTCCCCAAAAAGTTTCTTACCATGACTCGTCACACAGAACAAACCGAAACTGAATTTGATATTAACGGAAACGGAGGACAAAGGGAGTACGATTTCTCTAGAAGTTTTAGTCAGATTTGTGAACTCTGGTTACAGTTTTAGTTTGTTTTCTTTTATTAAAAGCCTCGTTGTTACTCTGAGTCTAGTTAACGGAAGTAATTTTCATTCTAGTTTGTGTTTCGTTGGTTTCCGATAAGGCTGATAATCCAGTTCTGACCGGATTGAACGTTGACAGAAAAGAAATTAAAGCGCGTGAATCAGGTGAGTTAGAAGTGAACATTGTTCTTGTTCTCCTGTCAGAGTCTCTGAGTGCTTTTCTCTCTGTGTTCGGGTTGTTGCTTTGATTCACCTTCAGAACAAACTGCGTCACCTTTGGCCTACTGCAGTTGTCCATCCAGCCAGCCCTCTTTCGATTTTTACGGGCGCAACTACAAGAGGAATGACGGTGTCCTCATTCGAGCGTCTCTGAAAATAAAAGCGCACTTCTTGGATGTGTGTCTGAACGTGCTTATGAACACTTTCTCTGTGTTAATTTTTGTCTAAGATAAAACTGCGTTTTTAATGATTTTATCTATTAAAAAACACTTTTAAGAAAAAGAATGAACACGATTTAAATGTTTTTGAGTGTAAATTTGTGTGCTAGATAAAACTGCGTTTTAATTATATTTATTTATAAAATACTTTAAATTAAAAGTGTTAGCAGAGTTTGATTTACCCAGCGGTAGGTCCAAGACTCCCAAACGAATCTCCAGGATTAAAAGGAGGAAATAAATCCATAAACAGAGCGTCTGTTTCAACGGGCCTTCACTGGTCCCTTTTTATTCAATAATACCTATCTGCAGACCCTCTCCAAACACGCCCCGGCCAAACACGCCCCCAACAATGCCATCCCCAATGAGATTATAAAACACAGATACCACCAACAAATAATCAGTTGCCAGACAATAATCAGTTGCTGGACAACAGGCACAACATACCTATGCTTACTTACGTTAGCAGGTGAGTAATTTATGTGCAAGTGTTTATTTTAAATACAATAAAATTAAATATCAGAAAAAGTAATTAGTGGTAATCGTTTTAATTAACCCCATAAGCCCACTAGCCCCCACTTTTGGGAGCACGCCTCCTACAGCAACATTTAACTTTCAACCATTTGTTATTACAGGCACTAACAGTGGGTCTAAGTTCATACGAGTGAGTAGTTAATATTTATGTTACTATTTATGATTTTTTATTGCTTCTTTACAGTAAAAAGCTGCTGATGTGTAATTTTTAGGCATTTTACATGTGTATATATGCATTTCATATATTCTGTTAACAGGAATAATTGCTGGCCCTTTGACACAAAATAGATCTAAATCTATTGATTTAGAAATTACTAAAATATTTTGCATTAAGTATACAATTCACAAGACTAGTAAACTGATATTGACCTTACACTAATCTGTAAAGAATATACTATAAACACAAAAGCAGAAAAGTTTGGCTTTAGAAAAAAAGTTCAGACAAATGAAACACCCAGCAACAGTTTTTATTGCCCTTACAAAAACCTCGTCTCGTCTCGTCTTCCTCCGCTTATCCGGGTCCGGGTCGCGGGGGCAGCATCCCAACTAGGGAGCTCCAGGCCGTCCTCTCCCCGGCCTTGTCCACCAGCTCCTCCGGCAGGACCCCAAGGCGTTCCCGGACCAGATTGGAGATGTAACTTCTCCAACGTGTCCTGGGTCGACCCGGGGGCCTTCTGCCGGCAGGACATGCCCGAAACACCTCCCCAGGGAGGCGTCCAGGAGGCATCCTGACCAGATGCCCAAACCACCTCAACTGGCTCCTTTCGATCCGGAGGAGCAGCGGTTCTACTCCGAGTCCCTCCCGAATGTCCGAGCTCCTCACCCTATCTCTAAGGCTGAGCCCGGCCACCCTACGGAGGAAACTCATTTCGGCCGCTTGTATCCGCGATCTCGTTCTTTCGGTCATTACCCAAAGCTCATGACCATAGGTGAGGATTGGGACGTAGATCGACCGGTAAATCGAGAGCCTGGCTTTCTGGCTCAGCTCCCTCTTCCCCACGACAGATCGGCTCAGCGTCCGCATCACTGCAGACGCCGAACCAATCCGCCTGTCGATCTCCCGATCCCTCCTACCCTCACTCGTGAACAAGACCCCGAGATACTTAAACTCCTCCACTTGAGGTAGGACCTCTCCCCCGACCCGGAGGTGGCAAGCCACCCTTTTCCGGTCGAGAACCATGGTCTCAGATTTGGAGGTGCTGATCCTCATCCCAGCCGCTTCACATTCGGCCGCGAACCTACCCAGCAAGAGCTGAAGGTCAGAGCTGGATGAAGCTAGGAGGACCACATCATCCGCAAAAAGCAGAGACGAGATTCTCCTGCCACCAAACTCGACACACTCAACACCACGGCTGCGTCTAGAAATTCTGTCCATAAATGTGATGAACAGAACCGGTGACAAAGGGCAGCCCTGGCGGAGTCCAACCCTCACTGGGAACAGGTCCGACTTACTACCGGCTATGCGGACCAAACTCACGCTCCTCTGGTAAAGGGACTGAATGGCCCTTAACAGAAAGCCACCCACCCCATACTCCTGGAGCGTCCCCCACAGGGTGCCCCTGGGGACACGGTCATAAGCCTTCTCCAAATCCACAAAGCACATGTGGATTGGTTGGGCAAACTCCCATGCCCCCTCCATCACCCTTGCAAGGGTATAGAGCTGGTCCACAGTTCCACGGCCAGGACGAAAACCACATTGCTCCTCCTCTATCTGAGATTCAACTATCGATCGGACCCTCCTCTCCAGTACCTTGGAGTAGACCTTTCCAGGGAGGCTGAGGAGTGTGATCCCCCTATAGTTGGAACACACCCTCAGGTCACCCTTCTTAAAGATGGGGACCACCACCCCGGTCTGCCACTCCCTAGGAACTGCCCCCGATGACCACGCAATGTTGTAGAGACGTGTCAACCATGACAGCCCTACAACATCCATAGCCTTGAGATACCCAGGACGAACCTCATCCGCCCCCGGGGCTCCGCCGCTGTGTAGTTGTTTGACTACCTCAGCAACTTCTGCCCCCGAGATCGGACAGTCCATCCCCAGGCCTCCCAGCTCTGGTTCCTCCTCGGAATGCGCATTGGTGGGATTGAGGAGCTCCTCAAAGTATTCCTTCCACCGTCCGACTATAGCCTCAGTTGACGTCAGCAGCTCCCCATCCCCACTGTAAACAGTGTGAGCGAGTTGCTGCCTTCCTCTCCTGAGGCGCCGGACAGTTTGCCAGAACCTCTTTGGAGCCGATCGATAGTCTTTCTCCATGGCCTCACCAAACTCCTCCCACGCCCGAGATTTTGCCTCGGCAACTGCCACTGCTGCACCCCGCTTGGCTATCCGGTACCTGCCTGCTGCCTCCGGAGACCCACAGACCAGCCACGCCCTGTAGGCCTCCTTCTTCAGCCTGACGGCTCCCCGAACCTCTGGTGTCCACCAGCGGGTACGGGGGTTGCCACCACGACTGGCACCGGCCACCTTACGACCACAGCTAGCAACAGCCGCCTCGACAATCGCAGAGTGGAACAAGGCCCACTCGGACTCAATGTCCCCCACTGCTCTCGGGACGTGGTCAAAGCTCTGCCGGAGGTGGGAGTTGAAGACCGTCTTGACAGGTTCTTCTGCCAGGCGTTCCCAGCAGACCCTCACTATGCGTTTGGGTCTGCCAGGTCTACGCGGCATGTTCCCTTGCCATCTGATCCAACTCACCACCAGGTGGTGATCAGTTGACAGCTCCGCCCCTCTCTTCACTCGGGTGTCCAAAACATACGGTCGCAGGTCAGATGATACGACTACAAAATCTATCATCGACCTGTGACCTAGGCTGCCCTGGTACCAAGTGTACCGGTGGGCATCCTTATGTTCGAACATGGTGTTCGTTATGGCCAAACTGCGGCTTGCACAGAAGTCCAATAACAAAACACCGCTCGAGTTCTGATCAGGTGGGCCGTTCCTCCCAATCACACCCCTCCAGGTCAAGCTGTCATTGCCCACGTGAGCATTGAAGTCCCCCAGCAGGACAATGGAGTCCCCTGATGGAGCACTATCTAGCACTCGTCCCAGGGACTCCAAAAAGGGTGGGTACTCTGAACTGATATTTGGCCCATACGCACAAACAACAGTCAGGACCCGTTCCCCGACCCGAAGGCGCAAGGAAGCTACCCTCTTGTCCCCCGGGGTAAACCCCAACACACAGGCAGAGAGTCTCGGGGCTAACAAAAAGCCAACCCCAGCCCTCCGCCTCTCACCCGGAGCAACTCCAGCAAAGTAGAGTGTCCAACCCCTCTCCAGGTCTCGGGTTCCAGAGCCAATGCAATGTGTCGAGGTGAGTCCGACTATATCTAGCCGGTACCGCTCAACCTCTGCCACAAGCTCCGGCTCCTTCCCCGCCAGCGAGGTGACGTTCCATGTCCCAAAAACTAGTTTCCTTGTCCGGGGATTGGACCGCCAAGGCTCCCGCCTTGGTCTGCCACCCGATTCACATTGCACCGGACCCTTCATGTTCCTCCTGCGGGTGGTGGGTCCACAGTTGGACGAGCCCATGTATCCGGTTCGGGCTGGGCCCAGCCGGGCCCCATGGGCGAAAGCCCGGCCACCAGGCGCTCGCTCACGGGCCCCAAAAAGTTCAGACAAATGAAACACCCAGCAACAGTTTTTATTGCCCTTACAAAAACCTCGTCTCGTCTCGTCTTCCTCCGCTTATCCGGGTCCGGGTCGCGGGGGCAGCATCCCAACTAGGGAGCTCCAGGCCGTCCTCTCCCCGGCCTTGTCCACCAGCTCCTCCGGCAGGACCCCAAGGCGTTCCCGGACCAGATTGGAGATGTAACTTCTCCAACGTGTCCTGGGTCGACCCGGGGGCCTTCTGCCGGCAGGACATGCCCGAAACACCTCCCCAGGGAGGCGTCCAGGAGGCATCCTGACCAGATGCCCAAACCACCTCAACTGGCAAAAACCTTCGAAAAAAATAAAAATGTCCACACAATGAGATGAGTCCAGAGCTTTTCTGAATTTCTCCGAGTATATGAGCAGTTCCATGGCATAGGACATCAGCTGCCTCTCACTAATGAGACAAAGATAAATAGCAATTAGTAAAAATGACATTTACACCTAGAGGCTGTCATAAACAATGTGAAAACAATACATATAGGCATTAGCACTGTTCTTGTGTTTGTAGAATACCTCCGGGCTACCACATTGCCGTCGTGAGT